CAGCAAGTGTTACAGCTCACCATGTTACAGAAATTGGAGACAACAGACCCTCACCAAAGTTGGAAGGAAAGTGTTTATTTACACTGGCAGCCTCCAGTCAGGCCCTGCCCTCTCAGTGAGCAAGGTTAGTACAGGGTTTATAGGTGAGCAAAAAAACCCCCACAAAAGCAGGGCCCCAGTGTTGGACCGAAGGTTATACCAAGTTTCACCTTCCTTGTATATGGTGGTGGTGGGGGGGTACACTGGAGGTACATCATCTGTCAAGGTTACATCCACATCTCGCCTTATTTCATGTTACACACACTTTACATGGTAGATATACATATTACATCCACATTATGACTTTTTTTTTTTTTGTGCCAGGCAAGCGCTTATTCTACTGAGCCATCTCCCCGGCCCTATATCCACATTATGAGACGACAAATTTATCAGGGTTTACTGAAGGGTGGGGCTCCAGATTAGGAGCAAGTGTTTCCTTTCTACTGTACTCATAGGGAGGTTGTACACAGTGAAAACGCTGACTCTTCTTGTTCTGTTCAGCAATCTCCAGGAGAACTATACCCCTTTGGAAGGGAATGTTGTAAAAGAACACACAGTTGACATCAATTACTCAGAACTTTAATGATCATAAGATTGCTTTTCAAGACACGGTCTCACGATGTAGTTCAGGCTAACCCAAATTTGTGGCAATCCTGCTGTCTTGAGCCTCCTGAGTGCTGGGATTACAAGTGTGTACCACCATGCCTGGCAGTAGTCAAGGTCTTGAAAGTGATTTCTGAAATTAAAATGTGTAATAAAAGCTAAGTTATATACCCTGTGGGGGACTTGGGTTAAGGAAAGATTAAAAAAAAAAAAAAAAGTCATGAAGTGGCCTGCAGGACAAAAGCTTGGGATGTATGGGTAAAGATGAGGGAAACGTGCTAGGTTTAATCACCATGCTTCCCCGACACCAGATAAATGGCTTAGGTTAACCTAAAAAGTGTCATACAGCAGATGTCTTTGTTCCTTCACACCACACTTTTTCTGCTTGTTTTTCCCTGCAATAAAAGCTGGAGAGTTCATGGTTGGGGACTGCTTCCTTGAGATTGCTTGTCTCTCAGTAACTGTTTCATCCTCCAAGCAGCCACAGTTGCACATTACGAAAATAAACTTGTAAACTGTAACTTTTTTTTTTTTTTTGCACTGAAATACCTTAGAAGTAGTTTCCCCAAATCATTATCTAATCTAAGTGATATCTCCTCAGATTAAAAAAAAAAAAAAGAATTTCTATTTTTTTGGTACAGGGTCTCACTATGCAGCTTGGACTCATAGTGATCCTCCTGTCTCAGCCTCCCCAGCACTGGGATTACAGGTGTACACCGTCACACCCAATTTCACTGGCTGGCGCAGCACAGGAGTAGAGCATGCACTACAGGGAACTGAACCTGGGTCTTTGTGCTAGCCAGGCAGGAGCTTAGACCACTGAGTTATCTTCCCCAGCCCTCAATCAGATTTTCAAAAATGATCAAAATTATTCTTTCATTTGGTAAATACTATCTTATAACAACAAAACTGTCAGGCATGGTGGTACATACCTGTAACCCCAGCACTTGGAAAGATGAGGCAAGAGGATTACAGTGAGTCAAGACCATCCTGGGCCACATAATGAGTTCAAGCCCAGCCTGAATTACGGAGAAAGACCGTGTCTCAAAACAACAACAACCAACAAAAACAACACAACTGTTCAAAACAAGACTTTATTAATAAAGTAATTATGATCTTTGAAAAAAAAAGGCTTTGACATGTTTTACATACATGTTAATTCAATACAGGTTAGGCCACCCAAAAGACAAAGCAGTGTCAACACTACATCATGATCCAGGATTATACAAATGAGAAATAAATAAAAGGCTTATGGTATTTGATAAGTAAAGACAATCAAGGTAAACTGTATTTCAAACTTGTTTATATAAAAGCATATTAAAGATCATTTTAAGTGGTGCATGCCTGTAATCCCAGCACTTGAGAGGCTGACGCAAGAGGATCTCTGTGAGTTGGAGGCCCGCCTTAGCTACATAGTGAGTTCAAGGCCAGCCTCGACTATACAGCAAGACCCTGTCTCAAAAAAACCCCAAAAATCACTTTTAAAATAGTGTCCATCTTTTCTTTTCGATGTGTATAGACTCATCTGTAATCAAGTACAAATAAACTTAACAGCTTTCTTAATCTTTTTAATACAAATACAATTCCTTGCTTTTTTATGCAATCCAACAAAATAATATAGTGAAGTCATTAGAAAAATATGGACCTTTCTGAATCTATATTGCATTTTTAATTTAAATTGAAAAATACAGTTTAGAGCATATGAAACACAAGGATTTCAGATTTAAACATTACCTGTATCCAACAGATTATTAGACATGATCTTTATTTTGGCTGAAATGCAAAAATATGATATCTTAATAGGTTAGTTAAAAATACTCTCCATTGATAGCAGTGCTAGGCATGGAATAAAACGTGGTTGAAACATATTTGTAGATTACTGTCTATGCATATACCCAAAATACACAGGTCCTAACTCCAAGACCTGACTATGCATTTGCGTTGAAGCTAAGTGAACGGACAACATACAGGTCCAATTATCTTAAACACGCATGTAAACATAGTCAAATTTGCTCTTTAAAGAAATAAAATTCAAGTAAACATTGCATATTTGATTTAAACTAACCTTATAGTCTTACATACTTATGCCTCATTGGATCATAACCACTAAATATGTAAAGTTTTAAAAAAATCATCCTATATGAAGAGGAAAATGAACTTTGTAAACATGATTATTTTCAATGACTAATACATGGCAGCTGCTCTTTGGTTTGGCACAGCAATATTGTCAGGTGCCTCAGGTACTGAATATTCAAGTAAATTCGTACCAGGTGAACCAAGTCTCTTGTCTAATTTATTTTTAATGGCAATGGCAAGACCTGAAATTCAATGGCATTTTCCTTAAGTATCACCACAGATATTCAAGTGCTTGAAGATGGAAGTAATTAGAAGTTTTGGCAAGGCTTCTTTTGATCCCTCCCAACAGTTGATAAGGATAACCTGTATCAGTAGAAATACCAAAGAGGCAGCCTTTCCCCTGATCCCACCTGTAGGCCCTTCATGAATGGTCCCAGATATTATGAGTAAATTCAGCTAAATGTTTATCATGTGGCCAAATGTTGGCTGTAAATTAATTAAATCAAAGGTAACTAAAGTAAGTGCCTTTACCTGACATTTCTAAAAAGGTACATACAATATTTACTATACTCTTAAAGGTGATGTTAAACAACAAAAATAATTAAAAAATATAATTCACAAAAGTGCCTGAGTTAGGTTAAAGGGAAAATGCTTCCTCAGTTGTTAGCCAAGCGCATGCAAATCCTTTGTGTGAAATGTACTAAAAAAGGTGACCATAACATTTCTAAAAGTTGTCAAGTATTTTTAAACATTATTAATTCCTGTAATATACAAACCACCAAATTGAAGTTAGGCTTTTGGCTAGTTGATATCTTGAGTCTCTTGCTAGTTTTATGTTTTCAAAGCTTATTTCCTTTGGTCCAAAGGGAAAACAAGTTAGTTCTTAAGATTCAGTATTAGTATGGTCAATGCAAATTACAGTCCTTCAAATTGTAAACTTGGTATATTAACTATAAAATTTGTGCTAGGTTAGAAAATTATGGACCTATTTCTAGAACACTGATACATAAAGTACTCTGAAAATATCGGTAGGTGAACAAAAAGAAAGATAATTTTGCAAAGAAAGGGCATTGCAGAATTCTCACCTAAAAAAAATAAACCTCACCAGAAGTCATCCAGGACAACTGTTTCAGGACACCCTCTGCCCTGCAATCCCACCATATAGAGGAGAAAATGATAACCTCTGCTACTGATGCTGGTAAAGTTTCTCTTTACCTAACTACTGGAACTAATTTGGAGGATTGGTTTGGTGAAAGAGTACATGAGGAATAACACTTCTATATTGTTATTTTTATATAACTTATCTTTGCTAGTCTGATTTAAGATTTGGCATTTAAAACTGGAATCCATTTCTCAGAGACTGGGAATTTTAAATGACTACTGAGGCTTAGAATTTCTTCCTGAGAATTATATTAATCTAAAGTTCCTAGTTCACATTGTATTTTAAGTTAAGGTTTAAGATGTTACAAGATTACTGTAAAAAGTTTCAAAATAATTCTAGCTATTAGCTAAATAAAAAATTGAAAGTCAACCAAATTGTTTTGTTTAAGATGACTTCAGAACTGAAAATACTTAACATCTTACAATATGCTATCTTTTTGTTTTTATTTTAGCCATTTCCATCTATTCCTGTGTCAAATCTTTCATGCCACATGTAATTTTGTGCCCCCGTAACAGCCTCAGACCATCAAAAAAGCAGAGAGTACCCCAACTTATACTGACAAGTCTCCTTCAACCCTTGGGTACAAAGTATAGTACATGTTATATAGCCCTCAATGAATTATATCAACACATTCTCTATTCTATGATTATATTTAGATATCTAAATCCTTCTGAGTATGTTATTTTATAGCCTAGAATAAAAAGATCTTTATTAAAAATGTTGAAAAGTATAAAAGTATAAATTAGCAAACACCCAATTTAAAAAAAGTAGTCGTTTTCTTTCCCTTATTATAGTTCAGGCAATTGTAATTTGGATATTATTCACTTCAGCTACCAACTGTCCCAGATGTACTTCATTTAAGACAAGTTTTTAGCATGTGTTTTAGAGTGAAGACATCACTCTTAACATTGTAACTCAGATATAAAACATGTATGCCATGTTAACATGGGATGAAAGCTCCTATTACAGCATCTCCTAACAGGCAAGTGTTATTTGTAAAGGAAAATTAAGTCACTTTTGAGCTGTGAGTCAACGATGCACAAATGGACACTTAAAAGTTAAGGCATCATTCTGTTTTGTAGTGCTTCTGTAGATCCAGCGAACTGTACAAAGACTTTCGTTTTTAAAAAATAGATCTTCTCTTATACTTGATTTTACTCCATTGGACATTTTCTTGCAAATAAAATGGAAAACATTGGTCCATAATGTTTTTATACACCTATGAAAACAGAAATGACAATTATTAGCTAACACTAGATTTTTTTTTAAAAAATGTCTTTTTGAGATAGGGTCTTACTATCCAATTCAGGCTGGACTTGAGCTCACTCTGCAGCCCAGGTTGGTTTCAAACTTGCAGTCCTCCTCCTGCCTCAGCCTCCCAAGTGCTGGGATTATAGGTGTGCGGCACTATGCTCTAACACTTTATATTTTTACTTCTCAAAATATATTAAATGGTTCTGTCGGCTAAGGAATAAATGTGCTAACAAAATCCAGCCTGATGATAATCTGGGAATGTGAGTAAGCAGGAAAAGGTCTCTGCTCCCCTGGCAGAGACCCCAGGTGGGAGGTCCAGGTGTGAAGGGACAGGAGCATGGCCATGAGTTGCCTCTGAAGCTCTAAGTCTGTGGTGATCAGCTGTGTTGTTTATAAAAACTAGGTAAATAGCATTAATAAACCTCTTTCTGTCTTCTCCTCAATCTGTAACTTCAAGTACTAGTCCCTGGATCACATTTCTCAGCAGAATGCAAAACTACCTTTTTTCTTCAACTAATTAATAAGGCACTGTTATTGAAAAGGTTAGCTGTCCACATACCAACCCTAAACTATTTCTTTTTTTTTCTCCCAGAACCAGGGATACAACTCAGGCCCTTGCGCTTGCCAGGGAAGTGCTTATTCCACTGAGCCATGTCCCCAGCCCCTAAACTATTTCTTGACTTATCTACCAACCAGTATTTATTAACATTACATTACAAGTAGTTAAGAAGAATGAGATTATGGCAGATGTTATCCTCCAGTTTCTCTTCTACTGATTCCTTTTGCTAAAATAACTGCAAAGAGTTAAAAAAAAGTTATAGATTTGTTTTCATTTGGAATATTCAAAGAAACTGTTTGCTCAAGGAAATTACCTTTATACTGTCTTACCTTGCTCTTATCGAATGGTTAGTTATGAACAAGTGGTACTCAATTTTCTACTGCCACTGTAACGTGGTTATTTGTCCCTGTAAGCACATAATTATATATGACGTGACAAAAAAATATTAGGTTACTCGCTAAGTGGTAAAATTGACTGCATTAAGAACTATTAGGTAAGCAGATTCTTATAGAACACAGAAGTGAATAATCAGTTTTAAGAGTTAAAAATCTGGTTTTTGGCTGATCCTTGTGCACTGGTTTTAAAGATGTTTGGCAGCAAAAATTAGTTCCACAAAATGAATTTTTCACTGATCTACTGAAGAGGTTTTATCATTCTAAAATATTAAGAGATTCTTTTTTCCTGGTACCACCAAAAGAAAAAAAAAAAAAAAAAAGATTTTTATAATATTGTTAAAGCTAAAATGACCCTTCTTCCCTCGACCTCCATAAAAAAAAAATGACAGCAAGTGTTTTTAGGGCATTTTCTAGAGTTAGTACAAATGATTCCAATGTCTCCAGTTGCTTTTCTACATTGTAAGAAGACAATGTTGTCACTACTATTAAGAAGCCTCTCATTTTTATCGTTAAGAAGCACCTCAAAAAAAAAAAAAAAAAAGCACCTCAAGTATGTTTTAGGCTATAATGCTACTAAGTGCTCAACACTTTTTTTTTTTTTTTTGTGGAACCAGGGATTGAACGCAGGCCCTTACGCTTGCCAGGGAAGTGCTTATTCTACTGAGCCATCTCCCCGGCTCCTAAGTGCCCAATACTATAAACCCAAGTCTGATTATATATCCCATTTCAATTTTATCATTTATTTTATACTGTATCCAAAATTTATGAAATGATTGAGGCATTAAGAACCCCAAAACTGAGCTGGGGAGATGGCTCAGTGGAATAAGTGCTTCCTCGGCAAGCACAAGGGCCTGAGTTCAATCCCCCGTTCCGCCAAAAAAAAAAAAAAAAAAAAGTAAGAACCCCAAAACATATGTGATCTATAGTTGTTAGAAACTAAACCAGCAATGAGCACGATGCTTTTCAAACATTATTCTCAATTAAGTATGAACTGGGGCCCTAGAAAACAGCGCTGCTAAACACGAACCTGAGCAGCCACTATCAAAAGGAGTTTACAGCTGAAGGAAGAAATGGGTGACCAGAAAAAATGCGGCCCACCTGACCGTTAGCCACAGTGTCTGCCCCACACTGCCACTTTTCCCTGGAGAAGTCACCAGTAAAAAGGGGCAGTATACACACACTAGGTGCTTCCTGAATACATTTCACAAGTTAGTACTTCAAAGCAGCCCATTCTTTGGTTTTCCTACATGTATTAAATTCATCTGAACCAAATGAACAGTGTTTCCGCAGGAGAACCATTACCTGATCTGATGGCACCTTCTTCAGCTCCATTATCCAGCCACTGAGATTCAGTGTCCAACAAACGGTTTTTTGATTCACTAAGTGGTTTGGTAGGAAAAGGTGGATTTGAGCCAATACTGAAAAGAGGAGAAAATAATCTAGTAAAATAGATTAATGCTCAATTAAGGATACTTAATAAATTAATAAGCAGCAAATTAGTATTCCTTTTCCTAAATACGTGAAGACAACTCATAGGAACTTAGCCAAAACTACCTTGCCAAAAAAAAAAAAAAAAAAAAAAAGCCCACAACCCCCATTACATGGCTCTCTAGACCCAAGAATCTGTACTCCAACACTGCCAATGAAAATGATTAGACAAAAGGAAAAAAGCTTCAGAGGTAAGCCTGAGTGTTTTAACATGTTAATCAGGAGCCGAGGTAGTACAGGAACAGGTGAGGAGCTATGCCTGTGGCCAGTACAAAAAAATTACCTTTCATTTCCCAAGTTTTCTGCTTTCTACCTCTGCAGTTTAGATCTAAGGGAAAAAATGATTTAGTGATTTAGTGTAGATTTATTCTTCTAGCTATGAGAACTAGGGAGGGAGGACACAGAGGAAAGGAGGCAAAGGGAACTGAGACTGGTGGGCGCTTGGGTGGGTCAGTGTGTGTGCTAGACACTTTGTATACACTGACTTCTCACTGACAGCTGTAGATGAGGGAAAGCCAGCGCAAGACTTCACAGACTAAGATAAATACTAGAGTTCAAAGGTCAGAGGCCTTAGCTTGTGGGCTCAAATGTTTATATTCTTCTAAAGTCAATATGCTAACTTAGAACACAGGGTCTCTCACCCCTAGCAGCTTATTTTCATAATAAATACATTTCAAGTGTTTCACTTCAAAAGAAGTATCTATCTCCTTTAATTTTCCATTTAAACTGGGGATTGAACTCAGGCCCTTGCGCTTATTCAGAGCCATCTCTCTGACCCCCTAGTTTTCCATTTAAAATGTACTATTTCACTGAATTTGTCAGGTTATCATGCAGACATGAGAAAATTTCTGTTAAGATGAGTAAGAAAAAAATTTGTATGTTTTGACTACTCATTATTTTGATACTGCCTTAAAAATCTGTCAAAAGAAAATGATGATTTAATGTTATTTATTTTTGTCTTTTTGACACAGGGTCTCACTATGCAGTTCAGGCTGGCTTTGAGCTCTCTTTGTAGCCCAGGCTGGTCTCCAACTAGCAATGACCCTCCTGCCCCAGCCTCCCAAGTGCTGGGATTAGAGGGGTGCACTACTACACCCAGCTAAAATGGTGATTTTATTGTACAATGATTACTTTGAAAGAATATAACTTAAGAAAATATAATTGGACCTTTAAAGAATACCTTACTTTCTGGGAAGATGCCATGTATTCCCTAGCTCACTAGTTTGCTGAGAGATTTTCAGCTCTTTGTAACTGTCTTACTTTAACTATTGATATATGCTAGACATAAGAACTTTTTTCTGTTCTCAAAAGTGGTCTGGTTTGATGATAAAAATATACAGTGATCCTAAGTATTTTAGGTACATACACACATTGAGCCAATTTAAAAAAAAAATTAAATAGAATTTTGCTTTTCCTACTTATGATGGCTTGCTGTTGCTATCATAAGATATGCAAGCTCTTGGTTTTACAATAAACACTGAAAAACACAAGGATAAGAAACCTACCTCCTGGCATAGTCATTCTGGTTTGTAACAGAAGCTTGTTCTGGATCCATCCCCACTAGGCGCGTTGGGAAACTGCAACCATCACCCAAGCTACACAATGAGAAAAAGCAATAATGGGGCTCAGGGTCAAATTTAACATGCAGTTTTCAGAGGAACAATGGGAAGATGACTCTAATTTGTTGTTCAGAGAATGAGTCCTAAGATTTCTAAACTCAGAGGTCTTTTTCTCCACAGAACACACAGGCCCTTTTTGCTCCTAATCTATACATGTTCAGAAACATGGTTGGTGGGGCACCAAGTGAACCTTAACCCCAGCTTCTCGGAAGGCTGAGGCAGGACAACTGACTGCTTGAGCCCTGGAGTTCAAAATCAGCCCTGATTCCATAACAAGACTTTACCTAAAAAAAGGTAAGCTAAACAAAAAACTAAGGGACAATATCTTCTGTATTTGCTAAGATCACCATGCCTAGTTAGGTCATCAAACAGCTATGCAAGTAATTGGGATAGTGGCTTTGTTATCACGACCATTTAAGAAATCATCCAGGCTCAAGTTCAAATTAGAGATGTAAATTCCACCTATGTATTCATTCAGCAATATTTATTAAATCTTGGGACCAGGGAGATGGCTCAGTAGAATAAACGCTTCCCTGGCAAGTGCAAGGGCCTGAGTTCAATCTCTGGTTCTGGAAAAAAAAAAAAAAAAAAAAAAAATCTATATTTAGGACTAATGACATAGCTCAATGATAAAACACTTGCCTAATATTCATGAGGTCCCATGTAGGGTCTCTAGGACCGGAAACAAATTTAAAAAACACCACCCCAAATGTCTGACTGTCTGTAACTTTCTAGGTAATATTTTAAGCACCAAGGATATAGCAGTGACCAAACAGAAGAAAATCTCTGCCTTCAAGTTTATAGTGTTCCAGCTCTTGGGGAGACTGTGGCAGGAGGACTGCTATGAGTTTGAGGTAACCATACATTACACAGTGAGTTCAAAGTCAGCCTGCACAACACAGTGAAACCTTGTCTGAAAAAGGAAAAATAAAAAACAAAAAAGTTTACAGTGTAAAAAAAAGTGCAGTTATGCCTTATTTTTGTATTCTTAACATATCAAAACTCTAAACAGCAGAGGCTTTTGCGTCTGGCAAAACAGAGTGACTGGTTAGTGTAACATGCCATCATAAACAGCTAGATGAACAAAGCAATTTTTCAAACCGCTGTACAATACTGTGGTCTCAAAAATGAAATAAGTACACCAATCTTCCACCATCACTGTAGCACCAGAAAGAGACTCCAAGCAGAGCAAGGTAGTCCTGTGAACTGAGGTGACAGAGATGGGTGTTTAGAGAGTTCAAGTGGTTTCACTCTATGGGACAGTGCAGAAAAAGAAGATATGTAGAGTAATGACTGTAGCAGTGTGCAGTCCTATACTTGGAACATTTTGATCAATATTAAGGTATATAGGTGAATCTGGGAAAAGAACTAGGAAGTAAAAGTAACAAATTCAGTCCTCATAAAACTAGGAAGCATTTGACCCTGACAAGGCAAAGTAGAAAGATCTCTGCTATGAATCTGAGAGACCTCACTTGAATTCCAAGGCTAACCTAGCCCTAAAAAATGCTCCTCTGGACTCAACTAATTAAGTTTAAATAAGCCTCAAATGGTCCTAGCTGAGACATAAGTAATCTAATTCTTCTTCTTTTTTTTCCAAGGAAAGTTTCAGGCTTTATTGTTTTGCGGGTCAGAGTAAGTTGTGATGCGTGCAGTTGCGGAGCTCTCTCCAGCTCAGTGCCATCCTGTAAGGATGAGGCGTGAGGAAGGCTTGCTCCTCTGCATGGTCCACCCCGACAACCTCTAATTCTAACAAAAAAACAGGGCCAACCAGATAGGTCAGGGGATTAAAGCACCTGCTTAGGCAGATGAAGGGAGTGGGTTCCGATTCCTGGAATGCTGTGCTGGCCCCGCCCCTGGGGCACACTGAGATGGTGATTGAAACTGGGTGTGGTGGCGTGCCCCTGTAATCCCGCATTGGGAGGCTGAAAACAGGAGAATCACTATGGGTCTGATCTGTGTAGTGAGACCCTGTAGATCCTGTACTAAATACATTAAAAAAACAAAAACAAAAAAACGTTCTTTAAAGGGAGACAGGTGGCACACACCTGTAATCCCAGTGCTTGGAAGGCTGAGGTCAGAGGTTGCTGCAAGGTTCAAGACCAGCCTAAGCTACAAAGTGAGGTCAAGGCCAACCTGAACTGCCTAATAAGACCGTATCTCAAAAAGACAAAATAAACAAAAATAAAGGGAGACAATAAGCCAGGTGTGGTGATGCATGTGTGTAATCCCAGCACTCTGGAGGCCGAGGCAGCATAGTTTGAGGCTAGCCTGGGCTACACAGTGAATGCTGGAGCAGTCTGGACTACACAGCGAGACCCTGCCCCTTTTTTTGATTTCTTAAGAGGGTCTCACCAAAGTAACATTCAAAATGTTCACCATCCAATCAAGTTACTAGACATGAAAAGCAGTGGAAAATGTGATCCAAAGCTAAGAAAAAAACAGCCATTAGAAAAGCATTAGAAAATTAACAATTTTAATGAAAATTAGTAGACTTCAAATGATTATAAGTATGTCTATAAATTTAAAGGATTAATATATATAAAAACAGAAATATAAGATATAATGAAAAACATACCAGACAGGTTTTCCAGCAAACTAGATACCGCTGAAGGAGATGAATGGACTTTTATACACAGCCACAGAAATTCATCAAAGTGAGGCAAAAGGATGAGGGAGGAGGGTAGAACAGTAACAACCTGTGGTCCCTACCAAAAAACTGAACGTATGGAGTTCAGAGTCCAGGAAAGCTGATGGGCAAGGGCTAGAACAAAGGGCCAGGAGGCAAAAATCACAAAAATACCAACTGAGGCCAGCTGTGGTGGCACCTGCTTGTGACCCCAGCAGTGGGAGGCTGAGGCAAGAGGATGGCAAGTTCAACCCCAGCCTGGGCAACTAAGGAGCTGAATAAGACCCTGTTTCAAAATAAAAAATGAAATGGACTGGGTATGTAGCTCCATGTAAAGGTCCTGGGTTCAATCCTAGGATCAGAAACAAAACAACAGAAACCAAAAATAACCAGAAGCCATAATGGGTAAAACTGTTTTAAATCCAGTAAAAGCTATAATTTCACAGACGTGTGAATCATAATAAATATCCAGGCAGATTAAATACTGAAGAATATCATCACCAAACTACTTAAAACCAGTGATAAAAATGTGTCTAGTGGAAAGTAATAAGAGTCCACACAGTAATTTACAAACAGCACATTAGGTAAGAGTAAGGCTGATGGTCCACAGAAACCATACAAAGTGGAAAATAACAGAGTAACACTTTCATAACAGGAAGTTGGAGGGGACCTCAAGCCAGGAATTCACTGATCAGAGAAAATAATTTTCTCAACAAGTATCTGTGTTCTAATAAAAAAAACTCAAAAACATGAGACAAGGCCAACGAGATAGCTTAGTGGACAAAAACACCTGCTTATGCAAGCTTAGTCAAGCTCAGGGACCATGGTTCAATCCCTGGCACCACATGCTGCACCAGCCTGGCTCCCAGGGCAGGCTGAGCTGGTCAGAGTCTGGGCATGGTGGTGTATGCCTGTAATCCCAGCGCTGGTGAGGCTGAAAGCAGGATGATCACTATGAGTTCGAACTGCTTGGTGAGACACTGCAACAACCAAATACGTTAAAAAACAAAACAAAGCAAAACAAAACGGAACAAGATAATAGAGAAAGTACATATAAGTCCAGTAAACTTGAATATAGCAACAGACCTACATAAAATAAAAACACAGAACATACAAAATGAACATTATTGAGCTGTGAGAAACTCTGAAGGGACAAACATGGCTGTAGCAAGAGTCCCTAAGATAGGGAAGGAAGAGAGAGGACAGATGTAGCAATGATTAACAATTTTTCTAAACTCGATGAAAACTATAAAACCAGAGGCAAGAAGCTTAATCAATCCCAACAAGAAACATGAAGAAAACTATACCATGGTATACCTTAAGAAAACTTTACACTGATTAAATAGCTTCACAGCAGCCAGAGAAAAGGCATTCTATGTAGCATGAAAGTAACCACGGCCACAAACCTAACACAAATAATGAAGGCCAGAAAACAGTGAAGCAACATCTAGAATTCAATACCAAGTGAAAGCAGTCTTCAAAAATGAAAGCCATGTAAATCACTTTTAGACCAAAACAGGTGATTTGGTTAAGGAAAATATCCTGTAACTGTAATAAATATATGACTTCATTTATAAATATTTTCCTTCTCTACAATGACATGGGCAAGTAGGCTTTCTAGAATCATTGGGAATTAGAGAAATGGAAACTATGAATTGTTAGTAAATATTCTTTTACAATAGAGGTAAAGTTGCACTATGTGTTTTAAGAAAGAAAAGTATTGACTCCTGTAATGGGAAAATTTGAATATACAGCTATAAGTATAAAATTCCTGAAATTCTTTATTTCCAACCATTTAGGTTTAAAAGAAAGTGATTATTTCTTATGCCTCTTTATATTTTTTACTCTTTGTTCACATATATGCTTAAATTCTATTACATATAATTTAAAATGAAAGCAAACTATTTTATGTCTGATCAAGTTATTCTGAGCATACTTTTTCTTTGTGGTTCTGGGGACTGAAATCAGGACCTTGTGCTTGCTTTACTAAGCTACCTCCCCGGCCCTGAGCATTCATTTTATTTTATTATTATCTTTTTTTTTGGCGGAACCGGGGATTGAACTCAGGCCCTTGTGCTTGCCACGGAAGCGCTTAGTCCACTGAACCATCTCCCCGGCCCCTGAGCATTCATTTTATTTTATTTTATTTATTTTATTTTATTTTTTTGAGCATTCATTTTAAAGGCCTACAAAAATGTCAAAATGAGGGCCAGGGATATAGCTCAACTGCATAGCAGCTTCCTGGCAAGTGCAAGGCCCTGAGTTCAATTCTTGGTACTCCCCACAAAAGTCATTAGGTATTATATTCTCTGAATCTTTTTTTTTTTTTGATTTTTTTTTTTTTATGTGTGTGTGTGTGTGTGTGTGTGTGTGTGTGTGTGGCCAGCTCAGCCTACCAGGGGGCGGGGCTGGCTGGCATGTGGTGCTGGGGGATCGAACTGCGGTCCCAGTGCTTTGCCAAGCTTGTTCCAAGTAGGTGCTTTAGACCACTGAGCCATCTCGCCAGCCCCAATAAGGATTTTTTTTTTGCTCCTCGAATGCCTTCAGGGCACTTTTGGCTGGCTGGAGGGTTGTGGGGATCGAACTACAACAACCTGAGGCTGACAGCTTTGTGGAAGCAGCCACTTAAAGAACTGAGCTAGGGCCAGGCCCCCTCTGAATCTTAATATATTTAATCAGAGACACAGACTACCATAAATTCAATGATTTCTGAGTCCCGAATTTTATAACTTACCTTGAAAACACTGGAAGTAGCCAGTATTTCTTTTCGTCACCAAATACTTGTCTCCAATTTTTACTGTACCCAAGAGAGAAACCATTTCCATCAGGTCCATATGAAAATGTAGGTGCACGGAATGATTCTATCGAAAAAAAAAAAGCCAATTAATCTATTTAAAACTTATAAAAGAAATTGAAAATATCAATTTCCTTATGTCTCATGTTAAACCATAGTATATTTGCAGCAATTAAAAAATAACTAGAAATGATAACAGGTGACAAGCCAATTATCCTCAGCTGATTATTACAATTATATACATGTTATATTGTATCCCATAAATATGTAAAATTACTGTTATTTTAAAAAAGATAAACTTATTTGAAAAAAGTACATCTTTAATTTTATCAACAATATAAAACAACATGTTAAAATAATTATCTAGTGTTACTGGAAATTCTATTGAAATATACACACACACACATATATATAAATAAATTTTTTCCCCCTGCCAGTTCAGCCCACCCTGAGGGTGGGGCTGGTATGGCATGTTCTGCCAGGGATTGGACTGCAGTCCCTTGCACCCACCTATGCTTGCCTAAGCAGCTGCTTTAGACCACTGAGCTATCTTACTGGCCCAATATATCTTCAATGAGCAAGGAGAGAGGAGGAGTGGTTACAAACCATTCTTTCAAGTAGCAATGTTCATGAAAGGTTATAAAGCTGGAAGATGAGTTTGCTCATCATTTTAAAGTTTTGTATGAAGAATTCATGAGGGTAAGCAGAACAGAGAGTGGTGACAATGTGCAATCACATTGTGGATTAACAGGTAAGGAACCTGACCAAAAAACGTATGTTACTGTAGTCAAGAGTCAAGGGCCACAGTGAGGCCTGAGACCCTCACTCTCCAGATCCAACAACCAGTATGGGAGCAAGAGTCCCTCCAACTTTCAACAGTCCTATTGTATGTGTGGACAAAAATTTCATACATAAGAGTTCTTCAGTTCTAGGTGATTAAAAGCTCAGTGTGGTTATGAGAAGCAGCAGCTACCGAAATCAAAGAGATTACCTTGCCTGTTTGAGATAATGGTATTAGTTTGAATACAGGAACTCATTAAATGTGGGGAAGTGATCTAACTGTGGTGAGTGACAATTATGAAGAGCAAAGGTGCTATCAAGTAGAATAACAATCTTGATGCAGCAAAGGACAGTTAGTAGTGTGAGAACAGGAGGCTGTAAGAGGTGGCACACCTAGGCAATATGTTTCAAAGCGTGGGCCAGAATGCTGTAGCAGGATGTGCAATGAAGGAAGCAGCTGTGAGCTACAGCACAACGTAGCAGAGCATAGTGCACATAGTTGAGATTAATGATGCTTTGTAAAATTCTTAACTTACATAATTTGTAAGCCTGTGCATATATCAAGTCATGATTAAAATGTGTTTCTTATTGTGGTCACTGGTGAAAAAGAATATTAACAGAGAAGTGGTTTTCCTGGAAATATTCATCTAATAAAGACCTGCAGGGTGAGCAGTAAAGGAGGGAAGCAGCCGGGCCAATTGGGAGGCAGCAGATGAAGGCATTTCTGTACTATCTGTAACAGGTGGCTACCACTCAGTTCAAACTGGTTGACAGCAGGTGGGAAACTGGTCCACTACTATCAGACGTATCCTTTGGAAAGCAGTAATTTTTTTTTTTTTTTTTAACTTGAAATCTTTCAGTTTTTAGCTTTTGCTGAAGGTTTTAAGGGGTGGCTTTTGTCAGTATACCACATTTTGTTCTCTGATTAGGAATAAAGAAGATGGCAAGAGATTCTGTGAAGATGGTCGAATCAGTTAATAGATGTAGGAAATTTTATTCAGGTGGAAAAAGGATAAATAAAAGTGATGGAAGTGGGGAGAATGAAATAGTAGAAGGTAAACTGGGGTAGGAAGGGTGTAGAAAATCTTTACTCTGGAAGCCACCATAATTTACATGACCCAGTAATACACGAGATTGGAAACATCTAAATGTAACTACTAAATGTTTTCCTAAAATCTCTCTTTGGCATTCCATATTAAAAACTTTTTTTTTTTAAATTTTATTTTTATTTATGTGTGTGTGTGTGTGTGTGTGTGTGTGTGGCCAGCTCAGCCCACCAGGGGGCGGGGCTGGCTGGCATGTGGTGCTGGGGGATTGAACCATGGTCCCTGTGCTTTGCTAAGCTTGTTCTAAGTAGGCGCTTTAGACCACTGAGCCATCTCACCAGCCCCTAAAAACTCTTTTCAAGTGTAGGGGCACTTGCTGCAAACTAAGCACTCAGGAGGCTGAAGCAGGAGGATCACTGTGAATTTGAGAAGGCAGGTGATCCTTAGTGTTCTTTTTATTTGTGGTATTGGGAATTTAACCCAGAACCTTTGAGCCAAGATACATCCCCAGCTCTCTTCTGAGAAAAGGCTGTGTATACTGCCCAGGCTGACTCCCAACTCTCAATCCTCCTGCCTCAGCCTCCCTGTGTGTGCATGAGCATGCTTGCTTATTTGCAGTGCTGGAGACTGAGCCCAGGATCTGGCATGTGCTAGTCAAGTGATAACTCTTTATTAAAATTATTTTTTATTTATTAAAATTCTCTCTCTCTCTCTCTCTCTCTCTCTCTCTATATATATATATATATATATATATCTGAAATTACAAAAGTAATTCTTGAAGCTCTTCAACACAATGAACCTCTCCGTTTATTGCTTGCATACAACCACAGTTTCAACACAGAGCCATTCCACACTGCTCTACCACCTGACTCCTGCCCTTGTCTAGATTTCATATTCGTTTGTGCACACTTATCTTGGCCTTTTACCTATCGTTGTTCTATTTTTTCCAACCAGCCAGCAGTGGTAGCTGAAGAGTGAGAGTACACTGATGAAGAACATTGCAGACACGAAGAAAAGGAAAAGGACATGGAATTTTGCACGTGTATCTGTCGGCTCATTCTGAGGAAGGAGAAAAAAAAGTCAAATTTGAGGATAGTAAACCTTTAAATCCAACAAAAAATTCAAAAATTGCTCTTCAATATTTAAAAATGCTAGCAGTATCACTCAGTAATCAAATGAAAAGATGAACTCTTCTTCCTAACAATTTTCTTTCATAGGCAAGCTTTTCTCAATATCTAGAATCTATACTAAAATATTTCTTTCACTGATACACTGTCACCAGAAACTCACTGGAATATACTGAAGTTTTATATTGTGTTTCTTGGGTCTTACTTCTGCACAGGTGCCCAGGCCTTTACTGTCAGGCGGACCTTCCCACCTCAGCCTCTGCCCCCCAAGAAGCCTGGGAGGCAACTGGCAATTTGGGTAAGTACGTCTGCCAGAAGGTATTGAGTGGAAACAGCTTCTCTGTTATTTTTTTTTTACAGCTATAAGAATCCACCCTTCTATTTAAGTTACAAAAACATTTTACAGACAGAAAGGAAGGTTATTAAGAATTAGATCATTCTTTTTTCCTTTTTGTTTTAGTTTCTCATACTGGGGGTTCAACCAGGGCCTGATATGCTCTATCACTGAGCTATATCCTAGCCATACATTAGATTATTTTGGTATTTCTCTTTTCTCCCACTTTACCTCGTAAGTGATTCTTTTATCTCATCCTGTGAAGAAAAATTTCATTACAGAATTTGCTATAAAATGTCATAAAAGAAATAATGACAATGCCATGGGGATGATGTGCTTTACCTTCGGACAATTCTCTGTAGATTTCCTGCGGCAAAGCTTGTGCAAATAGAGACAATGTATTAAGAAACCAATTTTTATACAAAGTTACCCTGAACACCTGAGTACTATGCTATAAGCCCTGTGTTTTTGAAGGGACACTAAGATGTTGCCTTTCTAATGGTCATGTTCAATATTTTTTCAAAAATTTCAACAAAAAACCAGATAAAAACATTTAGCTCTTTCAGCACAATTCAGGTACCCTTTTTTTTTTTTTTCTTCAGGTACCTTTCTTTCTTTTTTTTTTTTAAATTTTTATTTATGTGTGTGTGTGTGGCCAGCTCAGCCCACCAGGGGGCGGGGCTGGCTGGCATGTGGTGCTGGGGGATTGAACCGC